TTTGAGACAGGGTCTCACTGGTAGTTCAGACTAGCCTTGAACTATGTAGCCTGGGCTGGCCTAGAACTCACAGTGATCCTCCTGGCTCAGCCTCCTGAGTTCTGGGACTGCTGATGTGTGCCGCTGTGCCCAGCTTATACTGGATTTTTTAGACAAGGTCTCCATATGCGTCCAGGCTGGTCCTTGGTTCATGGCGACCCTCCTGCCACAGCCTCCTGAGTGCCGTGATGACAGACGTGCACCACCATGCCCGGCTGGACACATTTTTTCCCCATTTTATTTTATTTTTTGAAGCAAAACATTTATTGGTACATTTTAGATGTACGTGATGATGGCACTCATCACAGGGAGTTTGCACCTGCACATGATACATCCTGCCGCTTCTTTCTTTCCCCACCCCTCTCCCCCTGGACCCCTTCCCCTACCTATGTACAAAAGCTTTTGTTTCCATTTTTTTCCTTCAATTTTCACTTTTTTTCCTCATCCCCCCGCCCCGTTCTGCTTCCCACTTGAACATTTTTCCAGGATCTGTTAGAAGGGCTCCTCATTCTTAAATCCCCGGGACACGGTGGATCACCAGCCTGGGGTGACCTTCTCAGCACCCCTTGTATCTCAGGAGCCATCGGGATTGGGTTTAGGACAAGGGCGGCCCCTCCGCCACATCCTGCTCCTGGTCCGCAGCCCCCACGGCCCCAAGTGCCCTGGCGTGGAAGCCGTGCTGAGCTCGCCTGACCGGGCGGCCGGCCCAGTGTGGTTGGGAGACTCTGCGGCCTTGGGCACCATCCAGCCGGAGAGGAGAAGGGCTGGGAGCAGAGGTTGGTGCACAAAGGGCACTTTGCGGTGGAGCTGAAGCGTTGGATTTGTTTTCTTTAAATTTCCTGCATCAGGAAGAGAAGCCTGAGCCAGCGTTCAGCGTTCCTGAAGCACGGATCTCAGGTGGCTTCCAGGAGCCTTGTGGGCTCCGCCCTGTCCATTCTGCGGGAGTGTGGGGGTGTCTCAGGCTCCTGTCCCTTGGTTCGGTGACGGTCACCACCCTCCTGGAATCCCGACTCTGGGCACCCAGGTCGTCCCAGGTGGGCTTCAGTTATCCACTTACCTGTAGGGGTTGGCTTGGTTTTAGGGGTGTGGGGACTGAACCTGGCGGATTTGTGAACTGAGCACAGACTCTGACTAAGTGATACCCCAGCCCTGTTGTCTTTTTGTTTTGAATTTTAAGGTCACTTTTCCTGGTCCCTCATCTGTGGAATGGGAGGGCCGCACCAGGAGCCCCATGGTTCCTTCCAGCCAGGCCATTGCTGGGATATTCAGACCAAGGCTGGATGCGGTTTCATCAGTGTGGCAGGGCCTTGCCTGCAAAGGCTCAGTAAACCACAGCTCTCCCTCCCAGTACCCAGGGGAGGAGGCAGCCGCCCCAGCCCTGGCCAGGCCAGCTGCGCTCTGATCTCAAATTAGCATCAGCCTCTTATCTCTGACTGCTTTGAATGGCGCAAAGCCTGCCTTTCAGCTGCAGCCTCCTGACAGGACCGACCATGGAGGGCTCTGGGTGGAGACGCTGCCTGCACAGCCTCAGGGCCTGAGGCTCGCTCAGTGGGGGAAGGAGGGGACCAATGGCAAGCTGTGGCCTGGACACCGCTGATCAAAAACTACGGTGCATGCTTCCATTTAAAATCTTTATTACGGTAAAAAGACATTGCAGTGAATCCCCTCACAACACTCTCCCTTTCAAAATACATTCCCCATGTTACGGTTTTCTGAAGCAGTCATGAAAGTCCTTTTTCCCAAGTCTTTATGAGCTGTGATCAAAAGTGCAGTGATTGGGTGGGGGTGTAGCTCAGTGGTGCCACAGCGGCCTGGTAAATGCAAGGTCCTGAGTTCGATCCTGGGTATCAGAAAAAAGAAACAAATGCAGTGACTGCTGCTGCCAAATGCCATGCAATGGAAAGGCAGCTCCTAAAAACATGACGCTGTGTCCCCATCCACCTTATTCACCGATCTGGCACCGTGAGACTTCTGGCTCTTCCCCAAAATCAAAATCACCATGAAAGGTCAATGTTTTAAATCAATTCAGGATATTGAGGCAGCCAGGACAGCACAACTGAAGACCCTCAGGAAAGAGGACTCCAGAACTGCTGCAGAGAGTGGCAAGGACGGTGGGATGAGCGTGTTTGAAATAAGGGGAGGGTTTTTTTCATTAGGGTTATTGGTGCATTTTAGGTACACAGCACAGTAACATTCATCATTGGGATCTTGTACTTTACATGACAGGTCTTGGTTCTCATTTTTTCCCCTTGTCCCTGCCCTCCCTTCAACCCCTTCAGCCCTCTCTATTCACAAAGACTTTGTTTCCATTTTTTCCTTTTCTCATATTTTTCCTTTCCCTTCTTTCCTTTCTCTTACCCCTCCCACTTCCAGGGGGGAGGGTTTTGAGGGGGATGCATGATAATGTATCTTTTACAGTATTAGTTTTATTTTTTTTTTTACCAGAAAATTGAGTTTCGTTTTATTTTTTGGTTTTCTGAACTAAGGTCTCACTATGAAGCCCAGGTTGCCCTACAGCTCATAGCAAACCTCCTGCCTCAGCCTCCCA